GAGAGAGGACCTAGTAGCGGTCAGTGAAGAGGGGGGCCAGGAGCTGAGTATCGACCCCTGCAACCACATATAGGCGAGTACACACACACACATAAACACAACTACGATGGGGTATAAGAAGACCATAGATGATGTGCATGCTTGGGGGCCAAAGACTTCGGTGTGAACACCAAACACATCCCCTGAGACGCACATCAGCCACATAATTGTTGCAGTATACAGGCGCCTGGCACATCTAAGAACAGCATTTCGATAGCTAAGGTGACATTCACGACACTGTACACTGTGTACATCAGGCCCATATTGGATTATGCAACACCAGTATGGAACCCACATCTGGTCAAGCACGTCAAGAAAATAGAGAAAGTGCAAAGGTTTGCAACAAGCCTAGTCCCATATATCCTAAAAGGAGAGGTTAATAATTTAAGGAACTCAACCTGATGGCACTGGAGGAAAGGAGGGATGTGGGGGTGGGGACATGATAATGACATAAATACCGAGAGGAATTAACAAGGTAGACGGACGGAATGTTTCAGATATGGGGCACAGGAAGAAGGGGCCACCATTCAAAGTTGAAAACTAAGACGAGTCACAGGGATGTTTGGAAGTATTTCTTCGGCACTAGAACTGACAGGAAGTGGAACAATCTTGAGACTCATGTAGTGGAGGCAGGATCCATACATAGCTTTAAGAAGAGGTACACCAAGCTGCATAGATTCAGGGGACGGAAGCTGCAGACATTATTCAAAGAGAACTTGGGAGTAAGAACAGTACCTAGTACAGTGGACCCCCGGTTAACGATATTTTTTCACTCCAGAAGTATGTTCAGGTGCCAGTACTGACCGAATTTGTTCCCATAAGGAATATTGTGAAGTAGATTAGTCCATTTCAGACCCCCAAACATACACGTACAAACGCACTTACATAAATACACTTACATAATTGGTCGCATTCGGAGGTAATCGTTATGCGGGGGTCCACTGTATATCACCAAAGGTTCATATAAACCGAACAACCTCTGCAGCCAATGCTTACCTGGCAAATCTGAGAGTGGCCTTCAGAAAGTTATTCCGGGTACTTTATACAACTTATGTCGGACCCATTACAGAGTGTATGCTGCACCAGTATGGAACCCACACCTGAGGAAGTATGCTAAGAAACTGAAAAAACTGCAACGAGATTAGTTCCATACCTAAGGAGTATGAAAGAGGTACTTGAGGGCACAGCTTAGAGCTAAAGATACAGATAAGTCACAGGGATGTCAGGAAATATTATTTAGTCTCAGGGCAGTCAGAAAGTAGAATTCGAGGGTCATTTTATGTCAAGTGAACCAGGGGGTCCCCACCTGACCATCTCCAGTTTCGATAAAATTTTACATGAAAGTTGGCATGTATATCAAACTAACTTTGGGAAAGTTTTAGTTCATGATATGTAAAGCCTCCATGATATCACAGGCCTCCACTCGGAGTGGAGGCCTGTGGAAATTTCCCCAATCCGCAGTGCACAACACACAATCAGCAACGTTCGGGTTATTGCTATGGCAGATCTTGAAGAGTCAAAGTTGTGTAAGTAGGCATGCCCATGCTGATTTCAAAAATCGGAGTCCTAAAACTTACATCTTTTATTTTTTCACGGTACGAAGACAAAGTAGGTAAAAAAAAATATCGCGTAAAATTGAATCTTGAATTAAGCTGCCTATATTTCTAAATGTTTAACATTATTTTAGTATGACATTATTATAGCCAGCTACCCAAGTAAACATTGCCACAATCCTAAAATATTAGACTCCAAATATTTCTAGTTCCCATGCTAATGGCACCTAAAATTGACCTCACAGACCTCACGGTAAATTTTAGACCATTTTTGAAGACCAATAGCAAAAAAGGAGCACAATCAATTTTCTTAAAAAGCTTCATTAAAAAGAACAGATTTAAACTACAAGATATCTATTTTCTGGACAGGCATTTTGCCCTTGAAGGGAGAAAACAGGCCTTAAAATAAGGTAATTTTTGACTTGTGCAACATTATAATGAAAACCATGCATTTTTCAGTTGCTGTTGTTATAGAGCAACAGCTAGAACCTCGTGTTTAGGTGTCCTCATACAATTTTTGGTGGCGATTTCAGAAATTATCTGAATTGATAGGGACAGATATTTATTTTACAAATTAAGCCTCAAGTTGTCAAAAAAGTGTTGTGACAACTTGGCCTGTCACCCATTCCTTGTTTGCAGCCCAGTGTACCAGCATCATGTACTTACTCAGCCCTTTCAATGCATGTAGGTTGTGGCATGCTTGTACTTAACCTTTATTCGGCGCATGTACACACCCTCATTTACAGGCTATCTCCCTCAACCAGCGAACCAGGGACTGAGGGTTGACGATGGGGCCCCGTCGTTCAACCAGTACCCAGGTTCCAGCCAATGAGATGGTTTTGGCAATTGCAGAGGTTATGTGGGTACCACTCTCCTGTCTGCCCTCGTCATTCCCATTCTAGAGCTGGTTGAAGCACGGTCTGCTCTCTAGTGGCTTCTATTCTGCCTTGCTTACTGTGGAGTGCACTAATACCTATTGTTGTACATAGTGTATATAGTGTACATACTTCTGTTCTAAATTGGTGAAGGATAATATAAGTCAAAAGTTTTCTGCTGTGTTTATTTTGCTCCCTTTACACCCAGGATAACAGGCCTTTGGGACTCCTGGGTTGTAATATAGGTCAAGGGGGTGGTAGACCAGCATCAGCTTACACTTGCATTGCTGCACAGGACATGAACCTGTCAATTGCTTCCTTAAATCCACCTGCAACCTTCTCATCAAATATGTACATCCTAGATGACATCCACTTCCAGAAAACCCTTTGTCTCATCTCCATTAAAAATGTCCTCAGAACTGTAAATCTATTCAGCTATATTATAGCTTTAAGATCATTTTTTTTTAAACCAAGATCATGGGATCTTGATACAAAGAATTCTTCAACCTTGACCAACCTTTGGATGAAGACCTACTTCGACTAGTGGATGGTACCACTATGACCCCACCTCCTGCTTCACCTCACCCGACTACAGTATATAAGCCACGTCTCTGGCCCTATGCTGTACTTTCTACAAGATTGATGGACTGAACACATTGACTCCAGGCTGAGGGACTGATTACCTCAAACTACTCCTCTCCTTACACCCTTCTGATTTGTATTGGACTGATGAAGCCACTGTATGGCGAAACGTTTCCTCAATAAAGATTCCCATGTGTTGCACGAGTGTTTCAATCTTCAACTTGTCGGTTTTTTCTTAAACATTTATCACAACTTTAAGATCAGCACTTGTAGATTTTCTGTCACTTGTGTTGTGCAAGTTTTGATGCCGAAGAAATTTGTGAAACCAGCCATTACCAGCCATGAAGGGGCTCCTGAGGATTACCGTCATCTTGTAACATGTGATTATCAATTTTCAGGGCCTAGCCTGATTGCAAAAGAGCAGATTTTTATTTGGTTCTGGTCCTCAACCCCCACTAATAGCATTTTCTCAATCTTCAACAATGGGTTTCTTACTATGGTTGATACCTTAGCATTAAGTGGTGTTGAATGTATTATAGAGCTTCTAAAGCTTTCAGGATTCTTCTTAATGGAGCAAATGGTTGACTCAACATTGAATGCACCCCAAGTGCAGATGGCCCCCCTCACCACCATCACTATTTCAAGTCTCCAGTGTTAGAAGATCTTTTAGGTGTCTTCTCTGAATCGAGGACAGGGCTAGATGACTTGATAGGATGCTGAGAGCCATAATGATGACAGCAATCTAAACACCTAAAGAATGTCTTACAAAGACGCTGATACAAATACTATTGCAAAACTACCGCATTAGATTATACCCATAAGATTATACAGCGCCTGTGGGGATATGGAAGGTATTCAGGCTTAATTCAGGGAACTGGAGCACAGATCCAATTCCCTAGATCAAGGAATCAGGAATCAAGGAATCAGAATCAAGGAACCTCCCTTGAGGAGCAAAACTACAGCAAGCAAAGCAAGACTTATTGTGATGGTGCAGGGTGGTGTTACTACCAAGCAAAGTGCACAGCAACTATTTGTCACCTACTCCCAATCTCATGAGTAAATTTTAACTGAACCTGTACTTTATGACCCTTTGGAAGATATCATACCCAATGCCTAACTTAAAAGGGTCATATAGTGCTGCAGGGTGGTGTGCTTAAGATGGAATATGAGCAGGTCAGAAACTAGTGTTGGGTAGGAGTATGCATGAGGGGTAGTGGAGAGTGCTAAATGTATAGTATCACCAAAGATGATGAAAATAGTTAGTTTCTGTTAATTAAAAAGTCAGAGGGAATCTGTCAAAGGTGAGAGTTTCAGCAAGGTCAGGTAGACTAGCGAGTTAGGAAAGTGGAGATGTAGTTTGTGACTCCTGCATGCCTGCTGATAGACAGTACAATCTAATAAGAGATGAACTGAAAACCTTACTTGGCAGGCCTCACAGAGCAGTGCCGAGCGGCCTTCCATGAGATAATGGTGAGCGAGAAGTGTCTGGTATGTAGGCAGGAGAACATAGTCACCCAAACACGACAGCAATGGTAAGGTGGCCAGAAAACCTTAGGAGGGAAAACTATTCTGATAACCATTTAGGAATCCCTTTCAGGAATATCTAACAAGTCCAAACTCGGTGCCATTATTACATTATAGCATTATATTCACGAGAGGAGCACTAAACCCATAAGGGTCACACAATGCTTAGAAATACAAATAGAAGGCATTCAGGTTTGATCCAAAGAAGAGAAGCACAGGTCAAACTGCTTATATCAATTGCCCCCAATGGCATCGGGTAACCTCCCTGGAGGAAAAACTCAGCAGTAGCAGTGCCTCAACAGATGGTATACTATAAAAAATATTCTGACAAAACTATGTTTTCTTTTCACAAATAGTGTTCAAGTTTAATGAGTGGTTTTGCTATTGGTTACAACAATTACACTTAGATTTACAATAAATGAACACAAATATTCAAATATTTTATTGTTAAAAATTCATTTCAAATTTTCTTTAAAATATACAATGCTGTATATGCAAAATACTCATACATAAATAACTTCTTACTATTATTCACTATGGTGAAAAAAAAATGCCTTAAAACAACACAGTATTTAGGTATGTATAAAGTAATGAAAACTTTACATATAATGAAAAAAATAAAAAAGACTTTTTTTATTCTTTTATTGTCATAGTGTTTACCCTGGAAGTTAATATGTTGATGTTGGCCTTATTATTGCCAACACCTCGTATCATACCTCAGATGCCACTGTATCATCACATTGTTACCAGTTTATGATGAACCACAGGTTGTGCATAGAGTTTGTTATTACCAAAATTTTATTTGCGGTTAAGTAAATGTATGCCAATTTCACATCCACGATCTATTGACTGAGTATTTCCGAGTTATAGAGGCCCCACATCATATTTCCACCCTCCTAACTTAAGAATTAAAAAAATAAGTACAATACAGTGCCACTGGTCTGATGTTTCAAACTTCAGCAAAAGTTCATAATCTGATATAAATCCCTGTGAAGGTGGTAAGTGCAATGGCAGATAATTTCCACTACCTTATTATAACGTGCCGTTTCACTACAGGCCACAAGTTTGTGTATGTACTGAAACACTGCCACCTTTGTGATAAATACCCTCTTTTCACATGCTCTGGATTGCAGACACTACTGGAATACAGCAGCATCAAGACTGGGCCCTTGTACCCTAATGACAAAATATGGATCAATCAATTTCCTACATTTGAAGTATGCATGAAAATCAAGAAAGGATAAGGAAGTTCTACACAAAGATCATATTCCAGGAATATAACCCTCGCAAGTAACGAGGATTTCTTGTACTCTTTTACCATTTTTTCTTGAAACCTTAACATCTATGTATACAGAGGTACTGTTCATTCCATCACACTGACATAAATTTTAATTAAAGAGCTTCAAGACACACACAATGTCTAACTATAACAAATGCCTATTACAATTTAAGTTGCAGAAAGTCATTCATACAAATATTAAGCACAAATAAATGCTTCTTTTCACTTTACAGTGCATTGTTCTTTGGGAATTCAGACTAGTCCAGCATCCTTAGCCATTCCATAGAAGAGAGAGGCTTTGTTTTTCAAGAGCGCAGCAGGTGTGTCAAACTCCTTAACCTCTCCTTTGTCAAGAACAAGCACCCTGAGAAAAAAGAAAATGCTCACATGTTAACTCAAAAGCACAGCTTTATCATGTTTATCATACAAATACAGAAGTTAATGTAAAGAATGTTATTAACCCTTTCAGGGTCCGTGCTATAGATCTACGACTTTACGTTCAGGGTCCAAACCGTAGATCTATGCCATGAGCTCAGCTCACTCTGATAAGCTGTGAGTGGTAAATTTGGGCCTAGATATGAGAGAATACATCTATGTGGTATGTGTGCACCACATAAAACAAATCCTGCAGCACACAGTGTATAATGAGAGAAAAAAAAAACGAGACCGTGATTTTATATTAAAACAGCGACTTTGCAGTGTTTTTTCATGTTTTTTATAATTGTATTTGCGATTTCTTGATCTCATTTGATAGAATGGAAGATATATTACAGAAATAGAGATGATTTGATTGGTTTTAGTACTGGAAATGGCTTGAAACTGAGCTCAAAGTAGCAGAAATGTTAAATTTTTGTCGATGTTCAAGAGTAAACAAACGACCTCACACGTCTAATACATGCCAGCTGGTGGGTTTAATACACATTCACAAATGTGGTGATGATATTTATAGAATTATTACAATATTGCATAACAGTAAATATTCTATTTTTTGGTGTGAATAAAAATTCATTATGTGAATAAAAAATCAAAATGGAATTAATTTGTAAAGCCTGGAAACATAACTAATGAACAGAGGAAATGTTAGTTTAGTGCCAGGAATGCCTGCATTGTTTATTCTGGACCCAATTTGAAATTGGAATATTTTGAACTGTGTTAAATTGGCCAAATTACCAATTTCCAATCACTTTATTTTGTAGTTGAAACAGATGACTGGGCGATTTCTTGTGCTCAATCGATAGAATAGAACAGATAGAATAGAATAGAATAGATAGTGAAACAGCTAAGAATTTGGTCGACTGAAATAATGTAATTGGCCTAAAATGGGAGTCAAATTCGGCAAAATTGCCAATTCGTAAATATCGCTGACACAACAAAATTCACGAGATCATAATTTCGTCAAATTTCCATCAAATTTCATACTTTTTGTTTTATTACCTTCAGAAAAAGATTCTCTATCATTTCATAAGAAAAAAAAATTTTTTTTTTTTTAAATTCTTGGACCCTTGTGCACACTTTGAAATTTGGCCTCTGGACCCTGAAAGGGTTAAAGAATTGCATATCTCATAAACAAACTTGCTCTTCTTTCATATGAATACATACTAACATCTCTCTTCACTCTTCCCTTTATGCCTAATTCCTAGTTACTGTACTGACATTTTGTGCAGAAACAAATTATTTTGAAGATAAACTTTATTAACATTAATTAACTACACCTACCATCTGACTTACAACCGAGTTCGGTTCCGAGAAACCGGTCCTAAGTCGAAATGGTCGCAAGCCGAACTTTACTACTGAATATCAATGAAACATTTTTGTAATGACTTTATTTTATTGTTTTATTTTGGTATTTCATGTTTTACTTTACTTTTTATGTTGTTAGTACTGTATTTTATACTCTAAGGTTTAGGATAAACACTGTGTACAACACAAATAGTTGTTTATTTCCCAGAAATTTGGCATAAAAAACACGGTCGTAAGTCGAGTGGTCATAAGTCGAGCAGGTCGTAAGTCGGATGGTAGGTGTACATCTAACTGTACACAGTATAAATTTATGCAATGGGTGAATAAGCACCTACTGTAATAAGAACATAAGAAAGAAGGAAAACTGCAGCAGGCCTACTGACCCATGCGAAGCAGGTCCATGTCCCCCCCTGGCTTAGACCAATGACCCCCTAGTCAGGTCACTTCCACTTAAGGAAAGAGCACGGCAACAGACCTAGTAGCACAAGCTAGTCAGATCCAACTCACACCCACCCACACCTACTCGTGTATAATGTAATTGCTGTAGGCACGCTTGGGTGATAAATTATACAGATTAATCTTACAATCAACCAAGAAAGTTAGATAATGATTCTTGCTTCCACTGGTGTCCTCACTGAGGTCTTGAATGAAGAAGAACCATATTTTGCTTGCAAAGGTACAGCCAAGTACCTCCAGAGATTGAGCACTTGCTTTTTAATGGATGAATTAACTGAATCTGTTAGTTCTAATATCTATGTGGTAATAAAAAAAAATACTACAAGAGAATATATGTAACTAGCTTTTTGCAATGGGGACTGGTTGAGAGACCACCTGGAGTAAATGGCACAGTGGATACCTTCATTAGTGACAATGTGTCTGAGGGCAGATGTTAAAAATCTTCTACCACTGTCTTCTTTCTTTGATAACTAGTTAAGCATCTTTTTATTTCATGGGGTGATTGTCAGTGTCTCACTGTATAACACATGTATTGTTTATACTGTATTGTGTGTTCTGCATGCATATTGGTGTTCTTTGACCTGTGGGACAATGCCCTGTGAAGTTCTTCTGTATTTAAAATTTGTTACATCCATTACAAGGAATAAGTAGAACCCTGTTTTTCTGTATCATGGTAGATATGGTTGATGCTAGAAAGGTCCTTGATGATGGTGAAAATATTAACAGTGATCATGCTGTTGCTTATGGACAGCATGTAGGGAAGGATGATGGGGACACTATAGGTAGGAAAAATAGTGTACCTCAACTTGTTCTCAGTTTTAGTGGAAGTTATAATTGTAAGGGCTTTTTCCTGCCATCATGTGTGAAATAAGATGGGAAGTGGAGCTTGGAGAAGATATTTTTAATAATATCACATTCTTCTAGAAACTCCAGGCAGCATTCTCTGTATGCACTGAAGACAAAAACCTATCACCACCCATCTTTTGGTTTTAGAATCATGATGCGACATGAAATGGGTAAGGTCATATTGATTAATAGGTTTCAACTGAGTATCTGATTTACAAAGCAGAACATCTAGGAAGGTGAATGTGCTGTCGTGTTTCTCCTCCAGTGAGGCAAATTGGATGGAAGACTCAACTGAACTGAGACTTCTCTGGAAGGTGTCAGTGTTAAATCTTATGGGTGTGATGATGAGGAAATAATTGGTATACCAGTCAAACTCTGTTAGTGCCAATTAAAACAGTGATGGTTTACTACATTTCAAAAGAGTGGAATAGCTTATGGCAATTCCTCCTTCACCACATGCCCTAAGAGGATAAGAAAGAATTAAACATAGCATATGGTTTTGCCCTTGTATGTACCATTTTCCATATGAATTTTTCCTAATAACATTACTGCAGTAAATAGACATCATACAGTGCATGAGGAATAAACAGAACAGAGAGGTACTGCTTTTAAAGATAAATGGTTGTTGACTGTGGCTCTGAGTCAGAGAAGAACCAAAAATCAACATCAGAAAATGTGTGAAAGAATATCAAATGCAAGAGCCAAACTGAGCTAAAACAAGTGAGAATTAGTGAACCCTTGATATAACAGACTTCTACATAATGGCCTTCAGAAATGGAGAACAAAATCCAATGGATTAATTGATTTGGAAATTGAAATATTTAAGAGATGTTGGTTAATTCTAACATGGTCCACTGAACTTAAATACATAAAGTAGCCTTTACAAGAGATGTGAATAAATATACTGAAAGGAGCAGAAAGTCTTTTTTAAATTAAGTCTAAGTATGGAGGTAACCTTGATATAAAACCTATGCTACAGTAATTAGCTTGATGAATTGAATTTTTATGAGTAGCTGATACTAAAAAAAATATGCTGACTGGTGAAAAATATAAGACAAGCTTAACTCACCTTGTTGAGTCCATGATGGTATTAAGCCTGTGAGCAATAGTGAGCACAGTACAATCACAAAACTCTCGTCTTATAGTTTGTTGAATAAGATCATCTGTCTCTAAGTCAACTGCAGCTGTGGCCTCATCCAAGATAAGCACACGTGTTTTGCGGAGAAGAGCACGAGCTAGACAAACGAGCTGTCTTTGACCAACACTAAAATAGAAACAATGATGAAAACGATGAATATTTTTTATATTTTTACGACATTCTATATTTTATTAATCTAACTTTTTATTCTACATACAATAAAGCATAAGTAGCACTGGTACTGTATGCAAATCATTATTCCATAACAAATAAGAAAAAAATTAGGCTATATTTTGGTCAATCAAAAACTGCCAGAAATGTGCAATTTTTTATATTTCTGGGATAAGTGAAATGCCAATACAGTTTATTAACTTTTTGACTGTTTCGGTCGTATAAATACGTCTTACGAGCCAATGTGTTTGACGTATATATACTCAAAACTTCTAGCAGCTTCAAATCAAGAGGGAGAAAGCTGGTAAGCCCACATGTGAAAGAATGTGTCTGTGTGGTCAGTGTGCACAGTATAAAAAAGATCCTGCATCAAGCAGTGAAAAATGAGGGAAAAAAAAACTCCGACCATGTTTTTGGATTAAAATGCCAACTTTGAGGTGTATTTTTGTATAGTTTTTATGGTTATGTTCTCGTTTTCATAGTCACATTTGATAGAATGGAAAACATATTATAGAAATGGAGGTGATTTTGATTGGTTTTACTATGAAAAGGACCTTGAAATGGAGCTCAAAGTAGGGGAAATGCTTGATATTTGCCGATGTTCAAGAGTAAACAAATGACATCATTGTCCAATAAATGTCCAACTAGCCATTCTAATATGCAGTCATGAATGGGTTGACAGTATTTATACAATTATTACAATATTGCATTAGTCTGAATAACAATAAATCTATTTTTTGTTTGAATAAAAATCCAAAACAGAAAGCAAGAGTAATATAAGAGGGGCCTGGAGATGTGACTGATGAACAAAGAAAATGTTATTTTAGAGCCAGGAATTTCTGCATTGTTCATTTTGAACCCTATTTTGAAATTGGCATAGTTTTTAATTTGCATGAAATTGGCCAAATTGCCAATTTCTGACAACTTTATTGGGTAGTTGAAATCAGTAAATGGGCAGTTTCTTGTACTCAACTGATAGAAGAAATGGAGTGCTAAAGAAATAGCTACGAGTTTGGTCGACTGGAACAATGGAATTAGCCGAAAATAGGGCTCAAACTGGGCAAAATCGCAGATTCGTAAATATCGCTGAGGTCGCTAACTTCGCGAGAGCGTAATTCCGTGAGTTTTCCATCAAATTTTGTACTTTTGGTGTCATTACCATCAGGAAAAGATTCTCTATCAGTTCATAAGAATTTTTTTTTTTCAAATATTTTACAACACTAGGAGACACCTCAGGATTTGGGATTGTGACAATCAAAGGGTTAAGCATATTGTATAATACAGTTCACTATATTACAAGATAATCATGGATACAGATTCCAGTATTGTATAACAACATGCTGTGGTGTAAATAAAGCTAAAATACTATACATTTTACCAGCCATTTCATCTAATATTTAACATGTGATAACTTGTATAAAACAATTTACCTCTTAGCTTTACACTCTAATTAGTACTACCTTGCTTTATGTTTTTTGCAACCTGTAAAATAATTTGACAGTCACTGCCTAAGGTTGTTTGCTCCTGATTCTTCATGCTGCACATGATTACAATGCAGATGGCACCACTCAACTGAGGTTCATACTTCAAGTTATATATTATCACACAATAGCATTCACTTAAGGGCCATACTTCACGTTACACATCATCATACTATAGTGGACACACACTCACCTTAAGTTGTCACCACCTTCTGATATTTCATGTTGCAAACCATTTGATAGACTAGAGACAAACTCCTTGAGATGAGAATGTTCTAAAGCTGACCACACATTGGAATCATCATACATACTGAAGGGATCAAGGTTCATGCGGAGTGTTCCACTGAAGAGCACAGGATCCTGCATAGTGCACAATACAAGCTTTACTGTATTAATGTGAAAATTTACAAATATAGATAATAAAAAATTGTGAAAGTCAGAAGATACTATAGCTACCTATTCTTCAAAATAGATATTTCATTCATTTTGGAACTGTAATTCATTACAGACTTCAGTTAACTTTTTTTTTTTCAACAAGTCAGTTAAGGAATTCCCCAATGGGCCTCTGAAATGAAGGTAGATTAGCTAGTAAATATACTACAATAAGATTACAAATTATCCTACCAGTAACTTACCTGTGGAATGATAGTTAGTTTGCCCCGAAGGTCATGGAGACCTATGCTTGCAATAGAAATATCATCAATAGAGATGTTTCCACCAGCAGCTTCAATAATGCGGAAGAGCCCTAAAGTTAACGATGACTTTCCAGCTCCTGTTCGACCTACTATTCCAATCTGAAATTATTTTTTTTTTAATTAAATCTGTATATAACCTGTGACTAAGAAAACTAATAAAGACTGAGTATCCCTCATCCAAAATGCTTGGAGCCAGAATTGTCTTGGATTTCAGAATTTTGGGGGATTTTGGAATATAATGGGACCCAAGTCTAAACACAGAATCCATTTATGTTTAATGTACAGCTTATACACATCCTGAAGATAGTTTCATACAATATTTTTAAGAACAGCAGCATCAGCAGAATACCTGCATCAGCTGTTAAAAAACAAACAATGGCAAGCTTTCAGTCTCCAACTACAATGAAGTTTTGATTGAAAGGCTACTGTACACTTTTTTCTTATCAGTTACCAACAGGAGTATCTCTAGGCTCTTCTGATAATTTCAACAATATTTTCACACTGTAGAGCAGAGAATAAGCACAAAACACACATAATCACAGTGAATAGTGCATGTAGATCTGGAAGCTCCAACAGAGCGTCATAAGCCTACCCAGGGCATGTGAAGTCACGTGTCGAACATGTCTGAGGACACACGTGTGCAACACCCGGAAACTCCCCAGAGCTTACTAGAGTTTTCCACTTGTAGTGCTACGTCAACACTCAAAAAAACTTTTGGATTTCAAAATTTTGGATAAAGGATACCCAACATGTATTCTCATTACTTTTGTGTCACTGATTTTTTTTTTATCAACAAGTCAGCCATCTCCCACCTAGGCAGGGTGACCCAAAAAGAAAATACCCAAAACGAAAATACTTTTATCATAATTCAACACTTTCACCTCACACATAATCACTGTTAAAGAATTTAGGTGGTCTCTCTTGAACTCTGGTCAGTATGTCTCTGTATAACTGATTTGATAACTATGATTTGATATGAAATTTTTTACTTGCACTGGAATACATACTTTATCTCCTCCATTAATATGGAATGAAATGTCCTTCACAACAAGATCCAACCCTTCACGATAACGTGTAGAATATTTATTGAATACGACAACTCCCTGTTGTGGCCAGTCCTGTGAAAATAAACACAATATTCAATTACTAAAATAAAAAAATAGCTTTCCTATAGTTAAAGAAATACTACATTTTTGCATATTTATCTAGTACATTAAATTTAATTTCTGCTTTTAAAATACAGTGGAACCTCGCTTTTCGTTTGCCCTGGTTTTCATCGAGTTCGGTTTTTGACGACGTTTTTGGTCAAAATATTGTCCCAGTTTTCGTTCATCACCTCAGTTTTCGTCTACTGTACCGAATGTGTCATCTGCCAGCGCCCATACAATGCATCCCACACACGCATTCTGAGTCAGTTTGGTTTCTCGTCGAGTGAATATTACCCTGCGCATTCATACGAAATATTTCGTAATAATCCATTGTTTTTTGTGCTTGTTTATCGAGTGTGACTGCTAAATAAGCCACCATGGGGATAAAGAAAGTTCAGAGTGTCAGCCCTTTCATAAAGAAGGCGAGAAACATGATAGAAATCAATGATGGTAAAGGGTGGTAGTGATGGTGGTAGAGGGTGGTAGTGATGGTGGTAGTGATGGTGGTAGTGATGGTGGTAGAGATGGTGGTAGTGATGGTGGTAGTGATGGTGATAGAGGGTGGTAGTAATGGTGGTAGTGATGGTGGTGATTGTGGTAGAGGGTAGTAGTGATTGTGGTAGAGGATGGTAGTGACTGTGGTAGAGGATGGTAGTGATGGTAGTGATTGTGGTAGAGGGTGGTAGTGATTGTGGTAGAGGGTGGTAGTGATTGTGGTAGAGGATGGTAGTGACTGTGGTAGAGGATGGTAGTGATGGTGGTAGATATAACCTCTCCTCCCTCTCCCTTCCTTGCCATCTTCCATAAGCCAAGAAGAATCTTCAATAAAGGTAAAAGTGATTTAAATGTTCATTTATCCATTTCATTAGTACTTTATATTTCTCATTGTTTTCTCTATGTAAAACTATAGTTATTCTCTATAAAATGTATTTTTGTTAATATTTTTGGGTGTCTGGAATGGATTAATTGGATTTACATTACTTCGTATGGGAAATATTGTTTCAGTTTTTGTTGAATTCAGTTTTTGTCAGACTTTCTGGAAGGAATTAAAGTTGAAAACTGAGGTTCCACTGTACTAAGATCAGTTTTTCCAACATACAACTTCATTTCTTACATTCATCTATCTTATATCTAATTATTATCAGTAAAACACTGACATGTGTAACTAATAACACATTTTATTATGGGTATGTGTTACTCATCAGAAGCTTTGTCCATCTGATACAAACAAGGACAGGGGGCATACATATTAAGGTGAGGTCTTTGGTAGGTTAAACTTGCTGAAGATAGTAGTAGTAGTAGTAGTAGTAAAGAAGGAGAGGGAGAGGGAAGGGAGGGAGGGGAGGAGGGAGGGAGGGGAGGTAGGGAGGGGGAGGGAGAGGGAGGGGGAGGAGGGGAGGGAGGGAGGGGGAGGGGGAGGGAGGGAGGGAGGGAGGGGAGGGAGAGGGGGAGAGAGGGAGGGAGGGGAGGGAGGGAGAGGGAGGGAGAGAGGGAGGGAGGGAGGGAGGGAGAGGGAGGGAGGGAGAGGAGGGAGGGAGGGAGGGAGGGAGGGAGGGAGGGAGGGAGGGAGGGAGGGAGGAGGGAGGGAGGGAGGAGGGAGGGAGGGAGGGGAGGGAGGGAGGAAGGAGGGAGGGAGGAGGGAGGGAGGAGGAAGGAGGGAGGGAGAGAAGGAGGGAGGGAGGAGGGAGGGAGGAGAGGAGGGAGAGAAGGAGGGAGAGAAGGAGGGAGAGGGAGGGAGAGAAGGAGGGAGGGAGGGAGAGAAGGAGGGAGGGAGAGGAGGAGGGAGAGGAGGGAGGGAGAGGAGGGAGGGGAGGAGGAGGGAGGGAGGAGAGGGAGGGAGGGGGAGGGAGGTGGAAGAGGGGGAGGTGGAGGCATGACATCAGCAGCAGTAGTGGCTTCCACTGATTTCGAGTGACAGCAGAGTTGTGTGTTTTTAGAAAGATCTGTGTTAATAGTATCTCGGAGGTGTAGTTGCTGCCATATGTTACATTATTGTATCTGTGATGTAAATTAAAGGAACTTCTAGAGACTTCTGCTTGCAGGTCCCTCCACTGCATTAGAGGGCTGGAGAAGTTCCAGTGCAACATGCAAGCATTATTTAAGTTTATTATCACATCTGAATGAACACAGCTGTCATTACTATAAATTTTAATAATGCTTGCATGCTGCACCAGAACACGAATCACTTGAATAAGTAGTGATGTCCATTTTGTTATTAAAGAACCAGATACCGTCAAACAAAAATATCCAAAAACTGCTTTAATTTTCATCATAAACATAATTCAAAACACGGGCAACTTCCTCACTGCCAAGATACTAGCACCGGTCTTCCCAAAAAGACAAAATTCTACTGTCACTTGAAAAAAGTGACAGCAACCTTCATTCACCTCCACCACTACTACCATGACTACATCAACATGTCGGTTCTCTGAACCATTCATCTACAAACCATGACTACAGTTACAGCAATTACTACTACTACAATGATTACTATGGCTGCTATTTTATTACAACTACCGCAATTTCCATCAAGTTTAACCTGCCAAGCATCTTAATAGTATTATATACCCTCTATGCCCTTATAATGTTTGTACTGGTTTAACAAAGCTCCTGGTGAGTGAAACATAGCAGTAATAAAATGTCTTATTAGTTATAAATCTATTAAACTCAAAGCAACTAACATATAGTCAAAGACCCATAATATCCGCACACATTATGTTTTACAGTAGTATTAGTCACAAAGTTAAGTTCTAATACAATAGGACCCCTGTATCCACAGGGGATACATTCCAAGACCTACTGTGGATAGTAGTGAACCCAATATATGTCATTTTTCATTTACATATATACCTATGATAAAGCTTAACTGATAAATTACTCACAGTAAGTCAAGAATTAGCACTTTTTCACTGAGAGGAAACACTAATGACTTCTCTTAGGATTAGAGGAACTACCACCATTACTACTGTTAAGTAAAAGGACACAAGTGCAACTAATGTGACATTTTATTGTGGCAACGTTTCGCTCTCCAGGAGCTTTATCAAGCCATTACTACTTTTGTTTTGGTGTCATTATTAAGTACAATTAAGGCTTATTTTTGGGCCATGGTAAACTGCGGATAACTGAAATCATGGAAACCGAATCTGCAGATACAGGGGTTCTACTGTACTAAGATAAAAAAAAAATTGCTAACTAGGAACACTTACACTAACCACTACCTCCATTTTGAGACTTACTTTGTGTGGTTTTTTGTTAGGAACATCCCAAGCAGCTTCTTGCTGAACTTCAGTGTACTCTTTAATACGTTCCACTGCCACAATATTAGTTTCTACATCCGAGGTCATACGCACCAACCAGTTTAGGGTTTGTGTCACCTAGAATACAGATTAAAATATAGTGTATGAAAGCTGAAGTCAAGATTACCAAAGCAAAAGATCAGTAACTTTTTCTATAATCATATATTGTACATGATAGTAAATTATAAGATACTCCATTTTCAAAACTAAAACTGCAGTTTAATAATCTTCAAATTTAAGAAACTTTATCTCAAGATGATTCTGAAGAGTAAAAATTTATAACTTCAATCATCATAAGCTGTGCTGCCTGAACTGAATAATCCAGATAGGTATAGTATTTCTTGCAATACCATAATAAGCTACCCAGAAACACCACCTGGGCCAGAAAAAATGTAGTCACTGATGTGATCTGTGATCAAATTTGTTAAACCATAGATATCAATGTAGTGAAAGGTGTTCATAAGCTCTGAAAAAAACAAGTGTTTATGGTGGCACAGAAAAAAATAATACAAGTAACCAGACCATAAAAATTAACCTCATTGGGTCAGTAGTATTTCAGAAAATAAACAAACCTCAATAAAATTCTGGCCAAAATTCACTGAATCAGTATAACACTGGGCTAAAGAGGAACAAGAACAAAGCCCAAGGAAACTAGGGAAATACAAGGGGAATCTAAGGCAATGCTATTCCTAGAAGTCAAATGTGGGTCATAATTGGCAAGTGGAGAAGTGTGGAACCTCCGACATGTAGGCAGCTGATTAGCCACTTGTCTGACAGCTGTTGCCAGCTGCAGTCTCAGCCACAGAGTAAGCAGGTAAGGAGCTGGGACCCAGCCTAGGAAGCACTCTCAGGCCCAGGGATGTACCCAGGCACCAGTGACCCTGATCTTGAGGCAGCAAGCATTACAGCTTATGGGATAAGGGACAGGATCCTGTGCCTTCTACATAGATGGGTGCTAGAAAGTCATTACAAGGCCTGGAGCACTGGAAGGGCCATGGCTTGATGAGGGAAGGGGGCTCTCAATTAATGGATTATCCTATGCTGAACACACAAAGGAATACTCAAATGGGAGTGAAGCAGCTTGACCAAATGTGAATGACTGGACAGTCAGAATGAGTATTCCAAATCCCAAGTGCCAGGAGAAGATAAAATCCATCCATCAAGAAATATCTTTGTATATACCTGACGTAGAAGAACACAGTGTACAGTAGCAACTAACAGGCTTTAAAGAGTAAATCACAAACTGTACCAATATAAAAGAAGGGATAAGAAAGATCCTTTAAATTACAGATCTATTTCTTACATAAGTGAAGCTGTTAAAATACTAGGATAAAGCCCCAGAGAAAATCAAATAAAACATTTGGAAAGCAACAGCTTGAGAAAAATATGCAACTTGGCTCAATTCAGCCAAATATTCTGTATAATGTATTATATTTGTTTGTTAAATTTTGATAAGAGCATTATGAAAATAAGGATGGGCTGACTTCATTTACCTGGACTTGATAAAAAAGAAAAAAAAAAAAAAAAAGCTGTCAGAGCAGATCGTTCCTGCCTCTCACAACTATTGGACCACTATGATATGGTCTTAGATACACTGGAAAACAAAGAGAATGCAGATGTAGTATACACAGATTTCGCAAAATCCTTTGACAGGTGCGATCATGGTGTAATAGCACACAAAATGCATGCTAAAGGGATAACAGGCAAAGTAGGCAGATGGATCTTCAACTTTCTAACCAATCGAACACAAAGAGTAGTGGTAAACCGAGTTAAATCGGAAGCTGCCATAGTGAAGAGCTCTGTTCCACAAGGCACAGTACTCACCCCCTATCCTGTTCTTCATTCTCATATCAGATGCAGACAGAGATGTAAACCATAGCACCGTATCATCCTTTGTAGATGATACTAGGATCTACACGAGGGTGTCATCCATTGAGGACACGGCAAATCTCCAGGAAGATATAAACCAAGTTTTCTAATGGGCAACTTTCTAACCAATCGAACACAAGAGTAGTGGCAAACTGAGTTAAATCAGAAGTTGCTATAGTAAAGAGTTCTGTTCCACAAGGCACAGTACTCACCCCTATCCTGTTCCTCATTCTCATATCAGACATAGACAGAGATGTAAACCATAGCACCGTATCATCCTTTGTAGACGATACTAGGATCTATACGAGGGTATCATCCATTGAGGACATGGCAAATCTCCAGGAAGATATAAACCAAGTTTTCCAATGGGCAACGGAGGCAAATTCCAACTACTCCATTATGGAAAACGATGAAAATATACTACAAACTCTATACTACAAACTCTAATCACACAATAGAATAGAAAAGTAATGCGAAGGACCTGGGAGTGGTAGTGTCCAAAGATCTCACCTTCAAGGATAACAACAATGCCACTATCACATCTGTGAGGAAACTGAAAGGATGAATAATGAGAACATTCAAGACAAGAGATGCCAAGCCAATGATGATCCTTTTTAAATCGCTTGTTCTCTCTAAGCTGGAATACTGCTGTACATTAGCATCCCCATTCAAGGCAGGTGAAATTGCAGATCTAGAGAATGTACAGAGAACCTTTACTGCATGTACAAGTTCCATCAAACACCTTAACTACTGGGAACGCTTGGAAGCACCTGATTTGTACTCACTGGAATGCAGGCGACAGACATATCATAGTCTACACCTGGAAGATTCTGGAGGGACTGATCCCTAATCTGCACACAGAATTCACTCCCTATAAAAGCAAAAGACTTGGCAGGCGATGCAACATACCCCCAGTAAAAAGTAGGGGTGCCACTGGTACACTAAGAGAAAGCACAATAAGTGTCCGTGGCCCAAGACTGTTCAACAGCCTCCCACCAGCCATAAGGGGAATTACTAATAGACCCCTGGTTGTCTTCAAGAGGGAGCTGGACAAATACCTCAGCTGGGCTGTGGTTTGTACGCTGGACTACGAGCGGCCAGCAGTAACAGCCTCGTTGATCAGGCCCTGATCCACCAGGAGGCCTGGTCATGGACTGGGAAATGGGGGGTGATCCTCGGAATGCCCTCCAGATAGACAGGAAATATATTTCATAAGTATTAACCCCTTCAGGGTCCAAGGCCCAAATCTGAAGTGGTGCCCCAGTGTCCAAGAATTTTCAAAAAAAAATTTGTTATTTTTTCTTATGAAATGGAAGAGAATCTTTTTGTGAAGGTAATAAAACAAAAAGTACGAAATTTGATGGAAAATTGACGAAATTATGCTCTCGCGAATTTTGATGTGTCAGCGATATTTACGAAGCGGCGATTTTGCCGACTTCTGACTCCCATTTTAGGCCAATTACATTATTCCAGTCAACCAAATTCTTAGCTATTTCACTAGTTATTACTTCTATTCTATCGATTGAGCACAAGAAATCGCCAAGTCAACTGTTCAACTACAAATTAAAGTGATTCCCAATGTTATTTGGCCAATTAACACAAAGTTCAAATATCCAATTTCAAAATAGGTCCGATAAACAATATAGTATTCCTTGCTAAACTAACATTTCCTTTTCATAGTTACGTTTTTGAGCTTTACAAATAAATTATTTGATTTTTTTATTCACATATGTAATAATTTTATTCACACTAAAATAGAAGATTCTGTTATGCAATACTGAATAATTGATAAATACCATCACCAATTCGTGAAGCATATTAGACCACCAGCTGGCTGTATACGTGTGAGGTCGTTTGTTTTACTCTTGAACATCGGCAAAAATTTAACATTTCTGCTACTTTGAGCTCAGTTTCAAGCCATTTCCAGTGCTAAAACCAATCAAAATCATCTCTGTTTCTGTAATATGTCTTCCATTCTACCAAATGAGACTAAGAAATCGCAAATACAACTATAAAAAACATACGAAAAAACACTGCAAAGTCGCTGTTTTAATCGAAAAATCATGATTTCAGTTTTTTTCTCTCATTATACACAGTGTGCCCACAGGATTTTGTTTTATGTGGTGACACTCCACATAGATGTTTCCTCATATCTGGCCCAAATTAAAACTCACAGTTTATTTAGAGGAGGGGCTTTTGACACTCTAATTGGGTCCCACCTTGTTTTATTTTTTTTTGCAACCTGAAAAATTTTTTTTTGACATTTCACTGCCAAAAGGGTTTGGTTTGCTCCTGTTTTTTCATCCTTGAAACATGTTTTAAAAATCCAGATGGCCCCACCCCCAAACTGAGGTTAAATACTTCAAGTTATATATTATCACCCAATAGCTTTCACTTAAGGGCCATACTTAAAGTTACAATCATCAAAAACTTTTGTGGACAACCCCCTCACCTTAAGTTGTCACCCCCCCTTCTGATATTTCATTTTTGGAAAACCTTTTAAATTAGAACTAGAGAAAAAACCCCTTGAAAAGGGGAATGTTTCTAAAGCGCCCAACCATTGAATAAATCAAACAACTAAAGGGGATCAAGGTTAAATGCGGATGTTCCCACGAAGACACAGGACCGGCATATGCAAAATTTCAAGCTTTACTGTATTTTTGTGAAAATTTACAAATTTAGTTAAAAAAAAATTTTGTGAAAGTAAAAGGAAAACTAAAGCTACCTATTCTTCAAAAAAAAAATTTTAAATTCATTTTGGAACTGAAAATTTTCTTTACAGATTTCCCTTTAACTTTTTTTTTTTCAACAAGTCATTAAGGAATTCCCCAAGGGGGCCTCGAAATAAGGAAATTTTAAGCTATAAATATACTACAAAAAATTTAAAAAATTATCCTACCGAAAATTTACCTTTGGAATGAAGTTATTTGCCCCCAAAGGGGTCATGAGACAAATCTTGCAATAGAAATATCAAAAATAAGATGTTTCCACCAGCATTTCAATAATGCGGAAGAGCCCTAAATTTAAACGATGATTTTCCAGTTTCCTTTCACCAAACTATTCCAATCAAAATTTTATTTTTTTTTTTAATTAAATCTGTATAAAAACCTGGCCCAAGAAAACAAAAAAGACGGGAGTATCCCTCACCCCAAAAGGTTTGGGACCAAAATTTTGTCTTGGTTTTCCCAAAATTTTTTGGGGGTTTTTGG